TTTGAGGGAATAATATTTCCCAAAACATTTGTTCAAATTTAATTTGCAAATTTTATTTACATAAAAATAAAAGCACATATGGTACACTTTCAGGGTGAGACTAGGGTCTCCCACAAAGCATGCTAAGTGAGCTAAACAGCATGCATTATAAGCTGACAAGCACAGTAAAATTGGCAGCTTTAAAATAATTCAAAAAATTATTGGAATCAGCGCTCAAAGTTAATACACAGCATAAGGGCATTTATATTATTATTATTATCAAGTTTCACAGGAGGTAAAAACCAACCTGTAGGACTGCCAACAAGGACTGCCGACATCCTGATACAAACAAAATAAAATAAAATAAAATAAAAAAAGAAAAAAAATGCATATACATGTATAATAAAGTAAGAAAGGACAAACTAAGACAAATGACAAGAAGAACAGGGACACAAAAAAATGAAAAGTACATACATTATAACTATCAAAGTTAACTAAAAAATGATTCCAAAAAATAGTCCAAAGTTTCCTCTTAATTACATCAAATGAAGTATCTAAATCAATATACAGCAAAGTATTTCAAAGTCTTGCGATTCGATTAAAGTAAAAGTGACGGAAACGATTAGAGTGATTAACAGAAAAAACTAGTTTATTTTTAGAACCACAACGAGTATTGGAAGACGAAAAAGAGACATACTGGAGAATATCAAAACTAGGATCAGGGAAGTTTAAACATTTAATAAAAAATAGAACATCATTTAGTTCATATAAGTACATTAACAGGAGTAAATTAAGAGAGATCAATCTTTCCTTATAAGTAGATTTATTATAATCATTTGTGATATATTTTGTAGCTCGACGCTGAATCCTCTCAATACATAAAATATCTTTGATAAGCATAGGGTGCCAAAGTTGAGAGCAATATGTAATTTTGGATCTCACCAATGAAATATGTAGGAGTTTCTTAACAGAGGTAGAGGCATTTCTGAAACATCTCTTAACTAATGAAAGTTGACTGTATGCTTTGGAAGAGATAAATTTGTAATGGCCAGACCAAGACAAATTGTCAGATACAATTATACCTAAATCTCGACAACTAGTTGTAACTTTGAGTTGAGAACCACAGAGTAGATAATCATTCTCAAAAGGTGTTGAATTTGTAGAGATGTATCAGAAAAATTTTTAAAAATTTATAAAAATGAAAATTTTTCTCCAAGAATTTTTTGACAAAATTTGGCCAAGATTGGGATCCTTTGGGCATTGGTAGCAACTTTAGAAATTTCAATTTTGATTGGAATCAGCTCAAAGTTGATACACAGCATAAGGGCATGTATATGTAATTATGTATCAAAAAATTATAAAAATAGAGAATTTTCTAGCTCTTTGTGATTTTTATCAAAATAACATAGTATAGGTCTTTGACCCAAACATGTGCCATGCCAGTACTATATTAATTTTTTTCGATAGAGTTATTTTTGAAATCTGCAACCCTTGAATAACCCACTTATAAATGGCATTACTTCTGGAAAGGTAATTTTTGTAATTGTTATGTTATGATTAAGAGCAACAAACAAAATAATTTTCAAAACTTTTTTCAGAAGAAATGATGGAATTACCCCACCGCCATTAATGTTTCAGTTCTTATTTTGCAAGGTATACACAAAATTAAAAAATTCCCAAAGAATCACCACAATACTTATATACGTGTGGGTATGTATGTAACATACTTACTGCGTTGGTCTGTGTAATCTTCACATCACCATCAATTAGATATGGTAACTATAACATAATTTTAATAATTATGACTCGTGTATCTATTAGGACATACGTTTGGAAAAGGTAGTCCTAAAGTGTGCTTTACTGAAAGCCATCCTTCTCTGGAAAAACTAGGAGCTAAAGAAATGGAAGAATATTACAGTAACTGAATCTATCTAACCTTCAGCTTGTGTGTAGGTCACATTTTCAAACTCTATACCAGCATACTTTAGGAGAAGACGAATTGGCTGTGCTAGCTACAAAGCAAAATACTAACTAAACAAATCTCTTAATGGCAGATCTACCCCTCTGATGCTCCAATAGCCTATTTGTAGAGATTTAGACTTTTTCTGTTGAGGTTCAGCCATACTGCCACTAACATGTGTTTGTTGTCTGAAAAGGTCACACTCTAGATTCAATATTCATATGTTATTACAGTTAGACAATGAACTTATTATAAAGTGTGTATAGATCAACACTGATCTCTAAAGCACCACCCCATTATGATAGATATCTAATCTTTTAAGGTCAAGCCAAGAGACAAGAGTAAATACATACATTGAATTATGATGGAATCCAATAAGTCATACTTTGATCAAATAATTAATCGAATGTAATGACACACATATTGATTATTATTGCAACAATAATTCATTTGCAGTTACACTTCAACATTTGTGATACCCCCATTGAGCTGTTGTGTTATTGATTGGCCAACGCATAAATTCAGGTGATCTATACCCTAGTAAAAAATCCCAGCAAGATCTTATGTGATTTCATAGGATTTACTATGAAATCATAAGATTTCGTAAGTATGGCAATCTTGCCTATTCTTATCACGAAAAATCTTGATTAATCTTACATTAGTTTATGTAAGATCTTGCATGATGTATGATCTTATGAGATCTTACAGTAAAAATTTTAGTCAGTTCTTG